GGTTGACGCTCGGTCTGCACAGCAGCAAAGCACACAGCGGCAGCAAAGCAGCAGTAGAATCATGGACATATTGCATGGGATCGAAAGTAGATCAACCTCAGGCACACTGTCAGTATGTACGCAATTCAGTGGATGCATAGGATTGGGCTGAATGGCTACTACATGCTCTGCATTGGTATTTGTCCAGTGATAGATACAGTGCCGTGTAGCACCTTGATACACATTACACTGTGACATTTGCACAACACATAAGCTGGCTCTGTCAAGCCTAATATCTAATCAGGCAGCTGATGGGTCAACACAATAAATGTGGGACCCTATTGCACAGATATGTGCCAAAAACAGCATAAAGATATTGATAACACAGCGGTGACAGCGGAAAAGCGACCCCTGGACGTTTTACGCACTGGTGCTGCGAAGCCAAAACGAATCATAGCGAGAAGTGCACAGGCCCCTGGCATGCCAGCAAGGTGTGAAGATCAACAACACAGTTCGGCATTCACTGTCTGGTCTTTCGTTTGCACGCGCACTACTGCATACATGTGTACCGTTGTATTGTAAATACTAAATACCCATCGTTACTGGTGCAACTGCAAAACACGGCAAGCGTATAGAACAGCAGTTGTAGACAAGCATGGACATACTGTGCACGCTTCGAGGCTGGTGTGGTCGCGTGCTGTGTTGGTGCAGTGCGAGTGCACCGCTCGTGGGGTCTGATTTCACTTGCCACCACTGCAATACATTTCAAAGCGTGTGTGTTGACTTTGAACTAGGAGACACGTGCATTACACAGGGCTCACCTCACTGACACTAAGGTCCGGAATGGCCGAGAGGTTAGACATGGCTAGAAGTGGCGGCAGTGTGTGATGCAGACCCTGCCAGTATACGCACCAATACAGACAGTCACGTGTACACATGCAAGCATGTACATGCGTACACAAAACGTACACACACAAATGTACACATGTACACACACACATGCAAGAACATTTGACTTGTCAAGTCATACTTGCTAAGATAACAGCACTGGATGGAAAGTTGAAATCAAAGCTACGAATTAAAAACTAATCTGTCACTAAAACACAGCCAACAGAGAGCACACATAACTGCTGAGTGTATCTTACTTGAACTATAAGAGGAATGGAGCGGGTGCCAGAGAGACGAGTAGAAAGCCAGTCACCAAGGAAGGAGTGCGGATTGCGAACTGCAAGCCTCGCTTCTCGATAGTCCGGCGGAACAGAGCCATGCGGTCGTTCTGCCACAACCTTTTGCCGAATAGACTCCACGAGAACCTGGAACTCTAGACGGAAATGCAGCTGTTTCAGCGTGATGACCACCTGCAGTAGAAGAAAGATAATACGCCAAACGATCAACAGCAACCCAAACAAACACGGACACAGCAGTTAAAACACACATACAGCAACAGACACAGCAGAAACACTACTTAATGAGGGGTGCACATGCACCCACAGGTATACCCACACACAACTACACAGGCGCACCGCAGCAGCAAGCCCAGGGTGGTATCATTCTGGACTCGCTCTCCTCTCATTTTAAGCAGAACAACATGCCGGAGGGCCATAACAAGTCACTGCCACACATGCACCGCAAGTCATGAAATAACTGCTTCGACAATGTATTGTGTTGCCTGTTGCCAGACCTTACCCTAAATCTGAATGCAGGTCCGTATGCCAACACCAGGCTTCGATAGTTGAATGAGACAACGGCACATTGGCTGAACGTGTCACAGGACTTGTCTGCATGCAAAACAAAGATATATAGGAAGACACCAGCAAGTGACAAACTTGAGGCAGAGATTTCATAGTTCATACACAATTTGTGACCATATTGTGTCTTTTGTGGCAGAAGTATGATCAAGTGCATATGCTTTTCAGCGCTTCTCATGTAGAGGCAGTGTCAGTTCATCAGGTTCAGGATGCACGGATCAAACGTCCGCTGTTCTGCTTCGACCACCGTAGCTGCGAAGCACACGTTCTTTGCGTCTCTGGCTATACATGATGGCATCAGGGCCTCGAGAGACTGATATCATTTTAGAAATTCCACCATGGGCCGGGGGATCGTGGAGTTGCACACTCTTGGTTAAGTAGACCCATCACCAGTGTACTAGCAGTCAAAGGTCAAAGATCACAAACACAGATTGAGAGACAAAGTTCCACTGGTTTAGCTATACCAGACAGTCAATCAGTCAGTCAGCCATCCAGGCATAGAGACTATAGCACACACAGAGAGTGTGTACACAGCTGCAGTTCACCTACATGTACGTACCGGAATAGTAGGCTGAAAACTCCAACACGGAACTGTACAACTGGACCAGGCTGCTCCAGAAATGCTGAAGAAACGTGGTTGGAGGCTGCCCTTGCGGTATGTGTTGGACCAGACGGCGAACAGAGGCTGTACAAAGATGGTAGCAACAGGGAATAGAATACGGTCACGCCTGGTGGACATGACTGTGTATGTGAGGGGATACTGACAGTCAAAGTGCTCCAAATTTCGTGACATCCACGCAATTAAAATGATACATAGCACACAGCATGTACAAGACTGGCAAAACTTACTTTTCTCATGAAGTACTGACGACTCCACAGGACAGTCCAGGAACTGAAACTATCCGCATTAACAACCACCACGCAAGAACAACACACATACACAGTAACACAAATATTAATAATGTATTATCATATACATATACATGTATGTCATGTGGCAAGCTAGTAGTATCAGCGTAAAAGCTGCACCAGCACAAGGAATATTTACTGCTCATGCGTAAATGCATTAGTTTACAATATTGCAGTGGAAGCAACTCAAGAGAGCTACATCAAATTAGCTGGGTTGGAGCAAGGCGGAAAGTCATTGGCAAGCAGATTCCAATGTCAACACCAGAGTTTGGTCCAGACTTTGAAAGAGAACAGGACAAAGTCATGAGGCAGGAACTTACAATGGCTACGTATGTAGCATTCCTTGAAAATGGAGCCACCACCTGACAGCTAAGCAAGCTCTCCGAAAGGCGTGCAGCACTTTCCGAAAAATTCGGCACAGTTGGAAACCTGCATCCATGCACAGTGTCACACAAACGTGCACACGCACAGGCACACGCACAGGCACACACGCACGCACGCACACACACACACACACACACAGGTACTTACTCACTGCCACAAAACAGTAGTAGTGCAGGGACCACCAATATAGCTGTCTGTCTTCATGGAAAGCTCGCCGTGTTTCTTGCAGTTAGAGAACACTGACTTTGCGCTAATTTAAAAATGCTTTGTTAGTCACTATACTTCCTTGCAATAGGTTTGTGTTTATTAAATTTTGCACATCAATATCAACCCACTCTATAACAAAAAGGCAATGTTCAGGGTATCAAAACCGTTTGCATGGAACACACTGGAAAACTTGAGCTGCCGGCACGCTGTCGGATAACTGAACGCCGGGTAAGCGACACGCCACTGGATGTCTATTATTTTATGCAAACATTGAGCCAAGACATCCCAGTCTAACTAACCGTGTGATGTGGATGGATATACCCAACTCCCGATCAACACGTAAGTGGGCGTGCGAAAATCCTGCAGATGAAAGCTGCACAAGACCATATAAAGAGAGATACAGATGAGCAACTCACTGGGCAATGCTTGCATAGGTCTGATTCATCAAAAAATGTGGGCTTCACAATAACAATTCGTTCAACTTGCGGAAACAGATGAGGGAACCATCAAACCCACAACCTCCTTGTTGGATGAAAGGTACACAATTTACCCTCTGCAATTTCGAAATATCCTAACACTGAAGAGTTGGGGTACAGTAAGGGCTGCGTACCACCAGCCTCTGCAGGCTAGGTGTGTGTAGCCGGGAAAGGTGAGTTTCCAAGTCTGAAGTAAATATTGAACGGTCTCTGATGGGATGACGACTATGCCATATAGCTTAGTGGTAGAGCACCGCTGGCCATTGGCAAAGGTCTCTGGTTCAAGTTCTCATGCTGGCCATAGGCGAAGGTCTCTGGTTCAAGTTCTCATGCTGGTGGCCAATTTTTTCTTCAGACTTTCTTCCTTTGCATTCCCTCAAATTAATGAATACTCTGAAGTGCACATTTTTTAAAATAATTTGTACCAAGTGCCAAGAGGTGAGCCAGACTAGTGAACACACACACACACACGCACACACACGCACGCACACGCACGCACACACACACACACACAGGATTGAGGGATGGCCGGGGACTAAACACAGGACATGAAACGTGTGCAGGCGCAAGCAAACGCACAGTGCAATGCCCATGCATGACGCAAGTGGGCGAGTGAGACCGGGAGGCATATTCGCAGCGGCGCAATCCCACCCGACCGGACATGCAGAACACACAGCATCGGCTCAGCACAACGCAGGAGAGCTCTTGCAAGATCGTGGAGCCACGTACCTGAGTTAGCATAGTGGAGAACGGAACGAGATCTTCAGTCAGATCACACAGTAGGTCAATCCACTGAACATCGGGGATGATGCGCCTGGCTGGAACGTTGACTTCACCAACACGCAGCTGGGCCGTGTCGATGCTATGCTCTCCCAGGAGACATGGCACCTGGTTTCACATGTAGAGGACAACACAGTACAAACTCACACATCAGGCAGGCCACCGTTACATGTATAAGACAGCTGGAAACTCCTGGATGAGATGGATGCATAGAACTGAAATCATGTGGTGCATTTTCAGCACACACTCAAGGAAAAGTAGGCACCGTCTTCCACATCAGTTTCAAGTTGAGAAACATCACAACTCAAAAAAAAGCTAATGCGCGCCTTAGCCGTAGGAGAGAAAGCAACAAAATGCATGACCAGTGGTGTTAGCAAGCATGACAGCAAAGCTATAAATGAACACAAAACAGGACATGAAAAATATACGTAGCGTGCAACTTGTGACTCCTCACCTTTCGCCTTGGTCCATGGGCTAAAGTAGGGCAATCTATAGGAAGAACAGGCAGAACGACAAACTCTGTCTTGAAATGATACGAGTGCACCGGTCTATCAGTGAATGTAGAGTAGAGCAATGCCGCATGGTTTGGCTTTGATGCACAAATCGTAACCAACGCAAACCAAACGACTATACATGTAGTTGTTATCTGCAGCTTGGTCCGTGACTGTGTCAGGTGATCACATGAAGGACTGCTGCCACAATAAGCTCTTATCAGAGAGGTTCTGCACAACGAAAATTCGAACGAAGTTTCGCGACAGGCCTTGCGAAAATGTGTACGAATTTTCGCACGAACTTTGTGTTCTGCACATTTTCGTAGTTTGCACGCGCCAATTGCCCCAAGTGCACGTACGACATGACCCAATCTCACGAAACTTCCTACGAAAGTTCATTTCGCGTTCCCTGCAAGTTTCGCGTCCAAAGTTGCGAAAGTTAGTGCGAAGTTTCTCACTTCGTGACGTAGAGCGAAAATTCGTACACATTTTCGTTTTGCAGAACCTCTCTATCGTGTGTAGGAATGTGATGTGATGTCATGTGACGCGCCCGCGCGCGCGCGCGTGTGTGCCAGCTAGTTCGGTTGGTGGGTACACTGATGCCAGATAGTGTTGGGTCTGTTGCCAACAGGCTCGGCTGCTTGAAGGTGTATTGTTGTACCTACCACCTTTGTTGGTTTCAGGGCTCATATACTTTCTATTTGAAGTATACATACCTGTTAACCATGGACTGCTTCTGGCTAGATTAACTCTTGTGTAATCAATGGTGCTAGTGAAGCTTATATCAGATCCACTCTGATTTAGCCACCCACACTAGTAGCAAGTATTACCTTCACTGGGGGCAGGGATGACTGCAGTTGGATCCCGGGACGGATACCCTGATGCTGTCAATCCTTTTTCTGCAACTTGTCCTCACCCACTTACTGAGGTGTGGTGAGCCCATAAGTGGAATCATTTCAAGTCCACCCTAGTTTGGGGATTTCAGGGGGTGTCGGCCGTTGGGTGGTTCAATAGCCAATTGAGTCATCTTTCCAAGATTCCTTTTGAGTCTCTCTCCCCTCTCCCGGGGAGACCCACGTGACCAGTTTTGGCAGTGAGCAAGTACAAGTACAAGTGTGTGTGTATGTATGTAGGTATGCATGTGTGTGCTTGCGAGGGTGTGTGGTTGGTGCTAACGAATATTAGTTAAACTAGTTATAGCAAATCCGACCTCGCTACAGCTGACCCGCATTGTCCAGGAGCTGTACACTCAGCGACACCAAAGGCGCCATCAAGGTCTCTGCTTCTTCGACTTGGCCAAAGCATTCGATTCGGTATGGCACAGAGGGCTGATCACAAAACTACGATCGTGCTACCGTGTCACCCACCGCGCCAACAACTGGTTGTCGTCATACCTGAGCATGCAGACCCAAGCCGTGAAAGCAGGCGGCCTGATTTCGGAGGATCGTCCAGTTAATACAGGTGTTACACAAGGGTCTATTCTTGGCCCCCTGCTTTTCTTGATGTACGTGAATGATTTGCCATCCGTTACTCCTGGCCTCTCGCTTTATGCAGATGACGCCGCCCTTCACCGCTCAGCCTCCACCGAGCACGAACTAACGGTATCGCTCCAGCAGGGCATCAATGACATGGTAAACTGGATGAAGATCTGGAAGCTACAGCCCAATGTCCAGAAGACCAAAGTGTTGTATATTTCTGCACGTCCACCATCTGCACCTTTGACGTTTCCGAACTGCACCCAGGCCCTGGAAGTTGTAACTTCTCACAGGCACCTGGGAATCGTTCTTGACTCGAAGCTATCATGGTCCGAACATGCTGACCATATTTGCCTTAAAGCATCCAGAATTTTAGGAACTCTGAAGCCTCATTGCCGTTATCTGCCTCACGACTGTAGATCTCTTTTTCTCTTTGTACAGTCAACTTCGCTAATAACGACTGCGGATATAACGACAATTCGCGAATAACGACAGCATTTCCATGCCCAGAGCAAAGTCCCTTCCAACTGGAATACATATAATGAGACTTCGGATATGACGACACTTCGCGAATAAGGACACTTTTTTGATGCCCAGCCGAGTGTCGTTATAAGCGAAGTTGACTGTATATTTGTCCAATCTTCGACTACTGTGACGTAGCGTGGTGTGGGTTATCAACCACGATATCAGACAAGATCGAAGTTTGCCAACGAAAATTATTAAAAATGCTATTTTGCTTGCCTCGTGATTTCTCCTCTGCACAACTCTATGTTCTCGCTCGTGTTTGCCCCCTTTCTATTCGACGCAGCCTCCACAGCAACATGCTAATTCAAAAGATAAAACTCGAGAAAGTACCAAGGCATCTCTTTCCCTATGACTGGTTTGTGCGGAACCAATCAACAAGGGCACAAGTCTCGCTACCTGCAGCTCGCACTGTCCAGTTTACAAAATCCCCTTGGTTTCATTCCTATTCTGACTGGCTCAAGCTATCAAGCCTCGCCCACCACTGCCACAGCATGTCTCAGTTTCGCCAAGTTGTCTGTACTGAGTTGCGTTTTCCTGCGGCACTCACGCGTGTTTAGCTAAACAATGTAATTTCCGGCTATCTCATTTAATTGGCTGAGCTTTGTTTTCCTCCCTGTTCCTTTTTTTCCACTGTTTTCTTGTTTTCTTTTGTACTTTTACCATGGCTGGTTATCGCCCTCATCTCTGGGGTTCAACATTTTCTTCAGACTTCGTAACTCACACTTCCTGTGAATCCACACAGGCGGGTGGGACGCAGCCCTCACTGTAACCCACACACTTCACGTACAAACTAGCACGCGGGGAGCCCCAAGTCATAAAATGTTTTAAAACTGGTTTGAGGGAAAGAGACAAACGGGAAAAGTCTGAAGAAAAAATTGACTGTCACCACCAGGACTCGAACCAGGGACCTTCGCTTGTAGCCAGCGATGCTCTAACCACTGAGCTGTGGTGTAATAATAATAATAATAACAATAATCCAATCATGCAGCAAACTCAACCTCAGCAATATCCTCACCATCAATACTCTTGCCAATGTACAGCGACGCATCCAACGGTGAGAGTTGAGCATTTAAAAATCCCGGCTGCTGGTCACTGCTGCTAGACGTACTACTGCCGCTACTGGTGGCTGTGGATTGCAGACCATACGGAACAGGGCCTGTCTGCAGCAGATGGCAGCGCAGGTCTAGGGAGCTAGCAACACCCGATTTTGGGCTTACAATTTCTATGACCTACAACATCACAACACCAACAGAGACCAGTAGAAAAGCAAATGGTTAAAGAGAATGGATGCATGAAATTCTAAGCCTAGGGGCATGTAATTCGGAACAGTGATTTAACGGACTACAAATAATCAAACTACAGCAACCCATCATCTCCCTGCCCAACACGCTGCAATAAGACATGCTATCAGGAGGTTTACAACTCCTGCCTGGATCAAGACCACAGAGCAAACCTGCAATGCACGCAGGACTTACGAGAAAGCAGATGTGATGCAACGCCAGCTTAATGAAGATATGATCCGGTCCCAGCTTGGCAAGCACTGAAGCCGAAACCGGGGCCATGGGCAAGCGTGTGTACACATTCCAGCCTCTAGACTGCATCTGCTGCTTGCAGCGGCAGAGCACGGACCGCGCACGCAAACGATCCACCTGTGACAGCAGCTCGGTGGACAATTGCCTGTTCAGCAGATGGTTTATGCCCAGTGACTCTACAAGTCGCATGGGGTCCGACGGCAAAAGCTTGGCTGAGAACGTTCCCACCTGCGAGTCAAGAACGATCAGTAGTGATAGCTTGGCTGAAGGGAAGTCGTTCAGCTCCAATAGCAGCTGGAGAGAGTCTGCATCCAGGCAGAGGCGATCGCTGTAGAGTCGGAACTGGCGCAGGTAGTTGTAGAGGTGATGCAGACGTGCCACACTGCGTACCTCCACAGCATGGCGCAGCAGAGCCTCAATGGAGAGGTGACCGAGATTGATAGCAAGGGGTTGCCAGCGATGACAGTCGCCGCTCTTGATGTCGACTGTGGGCAGAGCAGGTGTATGGACCACGCTGAGACGTGGTAAAGACGATGTGTCTGCTTCAGAATTCTCAACGCATACTCGTAGCTGACAGTGCTCTGATGCTGAGCAGCAGAAAGAAAGGGGTAGACAGGAGAGAAGGACAAGTACACATACACATACACACATTATTCACAAGATACCCAGTCTTTGCTGCTTTACAAAAGGGAAACTATACCGGTATTGCAATCCCAAATACCACACGTGACACACACACACACACACACACACACATACACACACACACACACACACACACACACGGGCATGAGCGTGCAGACACCGAACATACCAGTGCAGTGTCGATTGTGATAAAAAAGTTGGCAGAAATGACGAAATGTTACCTGGCTTGTCTGCAGCTGCAGTTGTCTGTTGAGAAGATGCAGACGAAGTTGGAGCAGTTCCAGTTGATGATGATGGCGCAGTTGGAGGTCTGTTAGCAGATTCAAAGATGAACACAATAAACGAAATGTCTTGAACCAGGAAGATCATGTCTTAAAACTATTTTTAAGGAGACAAACCGATGCCACTTGCTTCGATGCACAGTACAACTCTTACACCGTGCACCAAGCACATGTGAAACATGTGCCACCACCAGCACCACCGCTACAGTCGCCACCAGCACGATGTACTCTCCTAGTTCTTACTTCCAGTACTCGAAGGAGAGTTCACTGGCAGGCCGGTATGACGTGATACCTGCACACTGCCGCGGGTTGTCCTCCATCAAACGACGGGCCTGAAACACAATAGCAGCAAGTGCACGCACGCGCGCGCACACACACACACACACACACACACACACACACACACACACAACACCAGGACCTTAAAAAGCTATAACATGCAGTCTTTACCAGAGCAAGTAATACCATTGCCACCAACGCTGCGAGGGAGTTTTCTGGGCAGCCAGGATCACCACTACCCAATAAGGAAAATTCTGATACAGGCTCCACCTAGCGGCATAAAGTGAGA